AAGGGAACCCCAGTGCACTGCTGAGGGGAATGCAGATTGGTGCAACCACTATAGAAAACAGTGTGAAGGTTCCTCAAAAACATTCAAAATGGACCCGCCTTATGACCCAGTGTTTCCACCTCTGGGTATATATCTGAAGTCACCGAAAACACTAATTCAAAAGAACATATGCACCCCTATGTTCATTGCAGCATTATTTCCATAGCCAAGAATCGGAAGCAACCCAAGTGCCCATCAGGAAACAAATGGATAAAAAGCAGTGGTACAAGGAAATACAGTAAACCCCCAATTTAATGGACTTTGGATTTAAAGGACAAAATGTCCAGTCTATAAGTCATATGTGAAAATTAACACCCTGTTAATTTTAAAATGCTTTTAACCAAGATGTGTTTATAATTAAACTTACAAGGTATTTTTTTGTTGTTATTTTTAACAAATTTTAGCAAATGGCCATATGTTGGAAAAAACACTGTAGTAATTTCGCTAACATAAATAAGTATTACATATCTACAACTATACATACTTAAATCCACTTGTAAACAATGTTCGGGGAATGATTACCACGTGATCACACCGCATCTCGCACAGTAACTATCACCAGTTCTGTTGCTGCATGGCGTGACAACCTGCAGCAGTTTTAACGTGTGCCCTGGTTATTCCCAGGAGCACTAAGCCACGCCCCAGTTGTCTGCATTTGTTTACTCTTGGTGACCAGTGAATGCATGCGTTTACTAGACCTATTCAGTATAAATTTAAAATTACAGTAATACATACAGAAAACTTTTCTGTGAAATTTAACTTTTCATACATACTTACTTTTAATTACACAAACATGTCTACATAAGTAAAAAGAGGTAAACCAATTCGTCAATTGTTTAACATATGCATTGGGAAACCTACTTTATTATATAACGGACTTCAGGCTTCAATGGACACTCCCTCACCCGAACTAGTCCTTTCTATCAAGGTTTTACAGTATTACTTGGCCATAAAAAAGAATGAACTCTCACCATCTGCAACAGCATGAATGGACCTAGAGGGTATTATGCTAAGTGAAATAAGCCAGAGAAAGACAAATAGCATACGTGGAATCTAATGAACAAAATAAACTAACAAAACTGAAACACTTATAGATACAGAGAACAAACTGACGGAGGCCAGAGGGGATCGGCGTTGGAGGGCCAGGATGCAATAAGGCGATGGGATTAAGAAGTGCTAATTGCTAGTTACAAAATAGGCATGGGGGTGTACAGTACAGCATAGGGAATATAGTTATTAATACTGTAGCAACTAACTATGCTGTGAGCCAGGCACTTGAGTTATACGGAACACTTTGCAACCTATATGAATGTCTATCTGCTGTATGCCTAAAACTAACACAAAATAGTTTTGAATGCAAACTGTAATAGAAAAATAATTTTTTAAATTATATTTCCTTTATATGCATATAAACTTGAGGTAGTAGCAAGACAAAAATAATGCACAAATGTTCTTGAAAGAAAGTAACTTTTGAGTTTTGTAAAACCTACAACACAACTGCTTCAAAAACCCACACTTCCCAGACAGTAAGTCTGGCCATTAAAGGGATCTGTGACAGCAATTCACTTTCTGAAAACAAGCTGGGTTTTGTGCTCAGAGGAAGGAGAACTGGGTGGCTACCTTGCAGAAAGCACTGGGCAAAGGTGCATTCTGAGTGCAAAGAAGGAGTGACAGTTTTTGTCTCTTCTTCTCTTTAGTGACTGTTTTTGGTTTTGGTTTTTTGAGATAGGTTTACATACCATAACATTACCCTTTTAAAGTGAATATATTTCATAGTTCTTAGTATATTCACAAGGTGTGCAACCATCACCACTATCTAATTATCTAACCCAAAAAGAAACTCCATAATCTTTTGTAGTCCTTCCTCCTCCTCCTTAGTCCCTGCTAACCAATAATCTACTTTCTGTCTATGGAATTGCCTATTCTGGACAATTCACATAAAGAGAAACATTCGATATGTGGCCTTTGGGTCTGACTTCTTTCATTTAATGTTTTCAAGACTCATCCATGTCATAGCATAATCAATTCTTCATTCCTTTTTATTGCCAAGTAACATCCCACTATATTAACGTACTATTTATTCATTCATTGGATGGTGGACACCTGGGTTGTTTCCATCTTTTGGCTATTATGATTAATGCTGCTATGAACATTCTTATACAAGTTTTCGTGTGGATGCAAGTCTTCCTTTCTCTCGGATATATACCAGGATTGGAATTGCTGGGTCACAGGATAACTCTGTATTTAACCTCTTGAGGAACTGCCAGGCTGTTTTCCACAGCAACTGCACCATTTTACATTCCCACCAGCAATGTACAGGTGTTCTCGTTTCCTGATATCCTCACCAAAACTGGTTATGGTTCGTCTTATTGATTATAGCCATCTTAGTAGGTTGAAGTGGTATCTCCTTGTGGTTTAAATTTGCATTTCCCTGATGATTAATGGTGTTGAGCATCTTCTCATGTGCTTATTATCAATCATTTGTATATCTACAGAAAAAAACTTCATCTTTCAAAGTCTGCCCTCCCTCCTCCTTCCTGCATCTGTCCTTTCCTAATTGGAGGCAAGAGGACAGTGCAGGGTACAGAAGGCAGAAGAATGGCCCATCAAGGATTCCAAAGTCCTAACTCTTGGAACCTGTAAATGTGTCCAGTTATGCGCCAAAGAGAAATTAAGGCAGAAAGATGGGATTAAAGTTGCTCACCATGTACCTTAAAACAGGGACATCATCTTGGAATATCTGGGTACACCCAATGTAATCCCAAGGGCTCTTTAAATGTGAAAGAGGGAGGCAGAAGTCAGTGGCAGAATGACAATATGTGAAAAATACTCCATCCGCCACTGCTGGTTTGAAGGTGAAAGAAGGGCCACAAGCCCAGGAATTGGGGCAGCCTCTAACGCTGGAAAGTCCACTACAACAGATGTCCCCCTGGAGCCTCAGGAAGGAACGCAGGTCTGCCAACACCTCCACTATAGCCCAGGGAGACCCATTTGGGACTTCTGACCTCCAGAACTGCAAGGTACTTGTGTTGTTGTAAACCACTAAGTTTGTGGTAATTTGTTACAGAAACATAGACACTAACATTCAAGGCTTTTAAACTGTTCTCCCCAGGCAGTGCCTAGGAGCAGTGATGGCAAACCTTTTGAGCTCGGCTGTCAGCATTTTGAAAAACCCTAACTTGACTCTGGTGCCGTGTCACCTATAGAAATTTTTTTATATTTGCAACCATAGTAAAACAAAGATTTATATTTTTGATATTCATTTTATATATTTAAATGCCATTTAACAAAGAAAAATCAACCAAAAAAAATGAGTTCGCGTGTCATCTCTGACACGCATGTCATAGGTTCACCATCACTGGCCTAGAGTCAGAGTGGGGGCAGTCATGCGACTACCTACCTTTTATATATTGGCCTTTAGTAAAAAGATGCTTTAAATATTTTTTAAAACCACTGGTGCAGCAGAAAGAGTTTGAGGTCAGAAAGAACTTGACCCAGTCTGCTTGTTTACCAGCCACGTGATCGTCCCACACTATTTAACCTTGGGGCAATGGCTATGACAGTGCCTGGCCCAGAGGTCGCAATCAGTAAACATCAGCTGCCCTTCCAGCCTCCTTCCTTCTCCAAAGTCTTCTCTAAGGATTAGACACAACCGCAGAATTTCCTGTCCCGTTCTCCTCCCCTACAAATACTAGAACGAAGAGGAGCAGAATCCCACCTCCCCCGACCCACCCAAGAAGCTAGAGTCTGACTGAGCCTTCATTCACTTATTCAACAAATATTTATTGCATGGCCAGGGCTAAAGAAGTGAGCAAAACAGACTGGTCTCCACCATCAGGGAGCTTACATTCCAGTAAAATAGACAGATATTAATCAGTCAGGCAAACAAATACACCACCCTATCAGCAACAGCTACAAGGGCGAGGGGCACAGGCTATACAGTGACAGTGTGGGAGGGTGGGAAGTGATCTAGTTGGGAGGTCACAGAAGGCTTTGTAGAAAAAAAAAATGAGTGAGCTGAAGAATGATTAGGCATCCACTAGGTGATGGAAGGAAGAGAACTCCAGGAAGAGGAATTCCCTCCGATGGCGGGAGGGAATGAGCGCAAGATAAAAGAAGGCAGGCCCAGCTAAGAGGCAGAGCAAATGGTGAAGAAGGGAAGGAAGGAAGGAAAAAAGAATGACTCCCAGGTTTAACTGGGTGGGCAGTGGTGCCCTCCCTCCTCTCTAAAATAAATCTCGGAAACAGGAAACACTGGAAGAGGGTCAAGTGGGGAGATCAGGAGGGCGAATCTGGATGTGTGGAGTTCAGGGTACCTCTGGAACAGCTAAGCAGAGCTATCACCTGGGCATTTGGATATACAGGGTAAATATGTCCAGAGTTTATCAGTCACCGCTGGGCGAGAGATGTGAGCATGGCAGGTACATGTGAGCAAGCAGTGGGTGAAGCAGGGGAGGAAGAGGTGGTCAACGGTGTCAGAGGTTCCTGCAAGGCTCCATAAGGGGCCCCCTGACTGACAGGACCCTGCTCGCCCAGCTGGGCGACTATCCTGGAGAGGTCTGATATCGGAGAGGTGGTGCCTATTAGATATTCTTCCAGAGGCTCTGGGAAGTGACCCAGATATTACGGGCTCAGCTACTACCTGCTTCTTAGGGGAAAACTAACAGAAGAGCAGACTCCCAAAGTCCTTGCTATTGTATCCAAAGACCTGACCGCAGGAACTGGCTCACACGCGGGTACAGAAAATGGAAGATACGGGCCTAGGCACAGCCTCTGTCCCAGGCTGGTTAAATATGCATAGCTTTAAAACTAGGGCACCACCTAAGATCCGACACCAAGGCGCAAACGGGGGCTCCTCCTCTGCCACGGTACCCACAGGCAAGGTGCCTGGCCCGGGCTTCCCGCTGCAGCAGCAGCACCCACCATTTTCCCACCCTTCACCCCAGACTGAACCCACTTACCTGGTAAGATTCCTGAACCCTGGACTCTGACTGCCTCCTTTTCCTGCTCTTCTGCCCGCTCTGAGTTCTCAACCACCTGATCCAACTCCTCACTCAGCTAAAGGAAGACAAAGGGGACAAACAGGTCAGCCACATCCGCCTTGCTTTTCCAGACTAGACTAGGAAAGCAGAAGCTGCTTCTCACTTAATCATCACACACACACACAATAATCCCATAGTGTAGGGTGTCCTACCAATTCTGAAGCTCAGAAACTCAAGTAACTTCCTGTATATTCATTTCCTAGAGGTGCCATGACAAGCACCACAAACAGGGTGGCTTAAAACAATAGACATATATTCCAGCAGGGCTGTCCCTTCTGAGGGCTGTGAGGGGACTTTCCCTGCCTCTCTCTCTGCCTCTCATAGTGGCCAGCATCCTCGGTGTTCCTTGGTTGTAGCTGCAACTACCTCCAATCTGTGCCCGCATCGTCACATGGAGTCTCTGTATAAAGACACTCTTCATACTGGATGTGGGCTCACCCTACTCCAGTATGACCTCATCTTAACTAATTACATCTACAATGACCCTATTGCCTAATAAGGCCACATTCTAAGGTACTGGGGGTTAGGACTTCAACACATTTCGGGGGGAAGGGGACACAATTCAACACATCACTTCCCGTGGCCATAGATGCACGAGTCAAATCCAAGTTGGCCTAGTTCCAAAGCCCATGATCTTAACCACTTCCCAGAGGAGGAGGAAATGCAGCGTGGAGCCTGCTGAGCAAGAGGGAACAGGGAAGAGGGTGTCAGAGCTCTCCAGACTCTGGCCAGCGTTCACTGATGCAGGCAGCACAGGGCAGAACAAAGTGGGAAGGGCCAGTCCATTTCAGGGGCAGATACTCCTTAGCTGCCAGTAAGCAGGCAACCTCAACCTCACTCCATCAGTGTTCTCACCTGTCAAATGGGGGAAATGATGCCCTGAGGAGACTGGCAGAAAGGATACAACGATAACCAACAAGTCTCTGCAGTATTGAGGAGGAGGGGGGTAGGAGAGGTCAAGACCAGAGAGAGAGGAGGAGCTATCACTGCATTGGGATGAGAGGAGGGGAGAGCTATCCCTAATATTTGCTTACATCCACACTGTAAATGTCTAGGGCAGGGGTGGGTAAACTTTTTGACTCGAGGGCCACAATGGGTTCTTAAACTGGACCGGAGGGCCGGAACAAAAGCATGGATGGAGTGTTTGTGTGAACTAATATAAATTCAAAGTAAACATCATTACATAAAAGGGTACGGTCTTTTTTTTTTTAGTTTTATTCAAACTACGTGGGCCGTAGTTTGCCCACGGCTGGTCTAGGGTCTCAAGATATTTTTCATTAAAAATTTATCTCCAGCCTGGCTGGTGGGGCTTAGTGGTTGAGCATCAACCAAGGGGTTTGACTGGGTTGTGGGCTCAATTCCCAGTAGGCGGTGTGCAGGTGTTTCTCTCTCATCAATTCTTCTATCCTTCTCCCTCTCTCTCTAAAAAAAATCAGTAAGAACATATTTTAAAAATTCATCTCCAATAGACATGAGTTAAATAAAGCCCTATGCCTCTATTATTCTTGCAGGTCCCTCTCCATGCCTCCACTCCTGCCCCTTAGGTAAAACTCCCAGCTTTAAAGCCTTCCAGTCCCAAAAGAAAAGAAAAGGTGGGAGAGGGCTGGGAGGCTAAAGAAGTCACCATGAGACTCAGGATGCTAATAGCAGCACAGATCAGGAGGTCCCAGGAGCCTTCACTGGTCAAAGGGAAGAGAGGACGACAGTCCCAGGAAGGCCCAAATTCTCTACTCCAAGCATCAGTGCAGCTTAAGCCAGGTGGCAACACTCGCCTCACCCAATTCCCCTCTGATTACCTGCAGCTATGTTGAGCCCACCTCCTGGCCTGCCCCAGCCGAATTCTCAGCACGCCCCATCCCCTAAAGCCAAAATCTCCACTCAGCAAAGAAACCTAACTCAAAGCTTGGTCCACTCTCAGGATGATCCAGGAAAGAAAGCTGCAGGCCACCCTCTGGGCGGCCGCTTTCTTTTGAAGGCGAGAGATAGGAATTGCAGAAAAGGCCCCTCAAGAAAGGGGAGGCATCCTTGCAGTGCCTTGCACCGTGAAGGTACCCCCAGATACCAATCGATTCAGCCTCTGGCCTTGCCCTGCAAGCAGGAGAACTGCCTAAATTTTAATCAACATTTTAGGTGATCAGTGAGGAGACAGACTGCAGGCTGCTGTGGTCGGTGAGGGACGTGATCCCGTAAACAGGGACACCTACGCTCCCTAGAAGCAGGAGCCGCACATGCGCTGTTAACAGGGCTAGTATTTCATTCACCTGCCAGGCTCTGAGCTAAGCACTTCCCACAAACCCACTCACCTAACCCACAAAACCCCAGGAGACGGCCTACCGTTACCTTCATTTTGCAGATAAAGAAATGAGGCTGAGAGAAGTTAAATGACTTGATAAAAGTCAAACAGCAAGAGTTAGAGCCCGGATAGAAACAGGGAGTTTTTCACTTCAAAGTCCTAGTATTTATCCACTATGGTCTCCTCCCTAGAACCCTGAAAGCTTTCAGTCAGGGAGAGACACTACTCATTCCCCAGGATTCCCCCACTGTCCAGGACGTGAAATCTAGGGGCCCGAGAATCCACATCGCTGGTTAAAAGCCCAGCGGGCTCCGTTTGGATAAAAGAACGAGGTGGGATAAAGATGATGGTAGGAGAAATATAAAAAGTTGTCCCAAAGTCACATTCCAGCCCAACTCCTACACTACAAAATGGCCAGCCAGTCTCAGGCAACTCTCACCTGACTGCAATTCAGCTGCCTCTTCTACTATGGGGCTAAGCCACCTGTTTGTATAGTCCACACTGTCACTGACAAATGGAGACATGGACATCATACTGGTCAGCACAGCAGCAAGTTTACCTGAAAAGGACAGGCAGCAGCTAGACTGGTATGGGAAGTCAGTCTCCAAAGAGCGAGTGGGATTTGAGACTCTCCCCTTGAATAATTGGGGCTTTTCATCAATGGAGCTGGAGAAGCGGTTAAAGGAGAAATGGTGTGAGCACAGGCATAGAGGCCAGAAAGCAGAAGCACATTTTTAGACATGAGCTTCCAAGTGCAGCCAGAACCTGGGTGGGTGAGGAGATGAAGGCAATGGGGGATACAGCCGCTGAGCTGTGCAGGGCTTGTAAAGCTTGGTGAGAAGTTTGGGCTGTTCTGAGTAGGCCAAGGGCAACATCAGGTGTATGGAAAAAAGGAATGCTCTGGGGTCAAGGCAGGGCCTCAAAGCGAATCTGCACACTCACACAGCGTGGGGAGACCAAAGGGGGAGGTGAAACAGGATCACACTCAGGTGGTTAGAGCGGATTCAGGGACACAAGCGGGAGGACTGGGAATGTGGCACTGCCTGAACTTGGCAAGTGTGTGTGTGTGGGGGGGGGGGGGGGGAGCACACAGGGAAGAAAGATGACGGAGGTTTGGGGCCTGCGAGGAGGAGGAGGAAGAGGAAGAGGAGGAGGAGGAGGAGGAGGAGGAGAAGGAGGAGGAGGAGGAGGAGGAGGAGGAGGAGGAGGAGGAGGAGGAGGAGGAGAGGGAGAGCAGTTCACTAGTCGCCGTAGGAGTCAGAAGGAAGAGCTGGTTTGAGGGGAAAGCTGGCTCAGGACAGGCAAGAAAGAGACAAAGAACTGGAAAGTGATCGTTAAAGTCGCGGGAGGAGGTGAGACCGGAGAGAGACAGAGTGGAGCGAGAAGCCCCTATGTCGGTGAAAGCATACTTTAAAGTCAGGCGGCCACCAAAACAAGATGTAATTATCCCTATCATTATCAGCTGCAGGGGCCACGAGGCCTGGGGCTGGAGGAGGGCTGATGCCCACCGCGCATCCACCCTAGCGGGGAGCAGGGCGCAGGCGCTCCCACTTGTTGCAAACAACACTGGGGTCCCCGAGGCCAAGCCGGGTCCCGCCCGGGCCCGTCGCGAGGCCGCCGGGTCCGACGAGGCTTTAATCATTCACCTGCTGGTGACGAATCGCCGCTCCGAGGGGGTGAGGGGTGGGGGCAGCTCTGGCCGAGCAACGGCAGCATCCGGCCGCTTCCCGCCTGCTCTGCCCCTCCTCTGCACTGGGGGACCCCTCTGCACGCGGGAGCCCCAATCTCGACGCACTCACCAGCTCCTCCGCAGCCCCCCCGCCCCGCACCCCTCCCGCTCAGACTCCCAGACTCCCGGGACCCGCTCCTCCGCTACATAGGAAACTTTGTTTCCGCCCCGCGTCCAACCCAAGCTTTGTACCTCCTGGTAGGATGTGGAGAGCTCTTGCCGGATCATGGCACTGACGGGAGCTAAGCACACCAGAGCCCGCTACGCCCCGGAGCGAAGACCGCAGCCGCAGCGCCGGGACCTGCCGGCTCCGCGAGGTGCTACGCGTTCTGAGGGGCGGTGCCGAGACCTGGCGGGGAGGCACTCGGCGCATGCGTCTTGCTCCCGCCGCAGCTGGGGCCGCGAAAGGGTTGCTGGGAAATGTAGTTCTGCGCGGAGGGCACTCCTCAGCACCCAAGCTTCAGCGAAGCCGGCGCTTACCCAGAACCCGGCACAACCCTGGCGTTAGGGGCACGTGCTCTCTTTCTCTCTCACTTCCTCTCTTTGTTGAAGAGAGAGGGACGGAGAATATTAGTGGAAAGTGGAACAGGGGTCCCCAGATCAGATGAGTAGGAGAGCCTAATCTATCATTGCAAGAGGAAGGTTATAACCGTAGTAAATATCTGGAGAACACTTTTTATGTTAAAAGCACTTTCACGCACTTAATGCCCTTGATCCTACCAGGACCCCCTGTAAGGGGGGCATTTTTCTTCCTGTTTTCCAGATGCAAAAACTGAGATACCTTGTTTGAGAAAGGATAGCAGGGAGGCAGTGATCAAGTGAAGATTATTTAATCCAGGAATGGACTATAGAATCCAAGTTCTTTTCATTATTTCTAGGCAGACACTTGGATTTAGAACCTCTAGGTTCTTGTCCTGGCTCTGCTCCTCCCCCTCAGGTTTGTAATGCTCTGAGCGTTCCTCTCTTGCCTTAAAATGCAACTGCTAACCCTGTCCTGCTTCACCTGGCTTTCTGAGAGCCAAAAGAGATCAGGCACAAAAAAACCCAAGGCGCTGTTCACCACGCAGAAGCCTCGCGCCCTGAATTTGGTGGAGAATTGGGCGTTTGCCCTGTGGCAGAGTGACCTGGGACCCCCTCCTCCCCACTGCCTGAACAGCTGTTCCCTGTGGCCGCCCTGGGCCGCGTGGTGGTGAAGCAGATAAACGTTGCTTATGCCTTGGTGAATGCTGCTCTGTGTCACCGGCAGCTGCAGCTCTGCCAGCCGTTGCACTCAGGCCACTCAGGGCCTCTTTCCTCCTCAGAGGCACCACAGTAGCACCAACCACGTCAGAGCACCCTGGGCCTCCCAGTACGCTAGCAGTGAAAGGCCTCCATCATCTCTCCTGACTACCCTCCCCCGCCCCAGGCTCTCTGCTCCCACATCTATTCAATGTGAGGATGCATAGAGCACCTAACACATTGTAGGCACTCAACAAACATTTGTTACATTTGTGACTGGAACAGTCATTCCAGCCATTACATTTAACACTTTGCTTGCCAAAACAAATAGCAACAACCAACCATTAATTTCCTGACTGTATTAATACAAGGGTGGTTGATAGAACAAGTTATGGAATCAGAATTTTAGAGCTGGAAGGAACCAGAGAATTCTATTCCAGCCCTATTATTCCCCTCTATCTTTGCTGATATGACCAAACTGGAAAACGGCGAGCTCCCGTATTTGAAGGAGATACTGACGAGCACCGTATTCAGCATGGCTTACCAAATGCAATGTGCAGATAATGAATGCAATGTGTGGGATAATGAATGAATGGGTTACTCCAAGGTCCTGGCCCTTGTGGCTCTTCCATGCTAGAGTAGAGAAGCAGACCATGAACACAAATAGAACTTTCTGTCCTTGCTGTCCCAGGTCCCTTCTTTCCACTCCCTCGGGCTTTCATGCTGTCCACTCACTGAGATGGTGCTTGTCATGGTCACAAATGACTTCTGAGTTGTCAGATCAGATGGCCGTCTCTCCACCCTCCTTTTTCTTGACCTATCAGCTGTGTTGCACTCAGCTGATTGTCCCTTTTCCTTGTACACTTTCCTCCCTTGGCTTACAGAACCCTACCTCACTCGCTGCTCCTTCTCAGTCTCCTTTGTTGGGTTGTCTTCATTGCTCCAGCTCTACAGGTGACAATGCTCAAACTAGATCTTTGATTCCCTTTCTATTCACTTCCTAGGGTCTTGTCTAGTGAAATGGTCTTTTCTAGTCTCATGGTTTGAATTGCCATCTATACCCTAAAGATTCCTGTATGAACTGAATGGTGTCCTCCGAAAAGATATGTTGAAGTCCTAACCCCTGGTATCTCAGCATGTGACCTTATTTGGAAATAGGATTGTTGTGGATGTAATTAGCCAAGATGAGCCCTAACCGGCTTGGCTCAGTGGATAGAGCGTCGGTCTGTGGACTGAAAGATCCCAGGTTCAATTCTGGTCAAGGGCATGTACGAATTGGTTGTGGGCACATCCCCAGTAGGAGGTGTGCAGGAAGCAGCTGATTGATGTGTCTCTCTCATTGATGTTTCTAACTCTCTATCCCTCTCTCTTCCTCTCTGTAAAAAATCAATAAAATATATTTTAAAAAAAGATATGGTCTCTGCATGTCTTACGACTCGTGTCCTTACAAAAAGACGTAAGGTGATGTAAAGAGAGACACAGAGAAAACGTCTTGTGATGACGGAAGCAGATTGCAGTGATGCAGCTGTAAGCCAAGGTGGCTTTAATCATTCACCTGTGGTTATAGGTCATGGCCTGGGAGGCCAGGCTCCATCCTGGGCCAAGAAACCATTACCAGAGATTAGGAAGAGGCAAGGAAGCATTCTATCCAGAGTCTTAGAGGGAGCCTGACCCTGCTAATATTTTGATCTCGAACTTGTAGCCTCCAGAACTGCAAGAGAATAAATTTCTGTTATTTTAAGCAGTCTAGTTTGTGGTATTTTGATATGGCAGTCCAGGAAACGAATACAATTCTCAACTGTATACAAATGAATAACTCCTCCAGTTCTCCCCTGAGCCCAGGCTCACTCGTCCAGCTGCCTGGCACCTTCTCCACTGGACGTCCACCTGGCAGCAGCAGCAGGTAGCTACTGGAAGCATGGACTCCGCAACCAGACTGCCTGGTTCTGTCTCAGCTGTGCCGCTCACCAGCTCCTGTGATCTTGGTTATTTCCTCTCTCTGTGCCTCAGTTACTTCACATGGAAAATGGGAATTCTGGGAGCCCTCACTTAGTATCGTCGATGGGTTGTGCAACTCTAAGTGAAACAACATAAATGGAAACCAATTTTACCATAGGCTATTGATATAAACGAGAGTTAATTCCTATGGCATCTCAAGATCATAACAGAATAGTGATGTTGAATGAAACGTTATTGAAGGACCGGCTATATTACCACTACCTATTCATAGAGTTCAAGGAGGATTAACCAAGTCACCGATGTCAAGTATTTAGAACAGCATCTGCCACATGATAAACAGTATGTTAGTGTTACTGGTTATGGCCAGGTTCAAAACATCTTCCTTTCCCAACTCTTTCTCATAAACGCCATCCTCCCATTTGCTCTGACCAAACTCTGCAGTCATGTTTGGTTTTCCCCTTTCTCTGACACCCACATCTACATCAGCAAGTCCTGCAGGCTCTCCTTCAAACACTTATTCAGAATCTGACCATATTTCACCACCATCACCACCCACATTTCTCGTGGACTACTTCCAGTCACCTGCTAGCTGCTCTCTCTCCTTCCACCTTTGTATGCTGCGGTCTATTCCCAACACAGCTGCCAGTGAGAACCTGCTAAACCAAGTCATATGATGTCACTTCTCTGCTCCAACCCCACAAAGCCAAGGTCCTCACAGGTACCTGTATGGCCCAACAGGAGCTGTCCAGCAGCCCCCACCTTTCCTATTACTCCTCCCCTTACTCTCTCAGCCTCAACTTGCTGAGCCTACAGTCTTTGCGCTGTCTGTTCCTGTTCCTGGGATGCTCTTATCCTGGGTATCTATGACTCACTTCCTCACTTCCTTCAGTTCTTTCTTTAAATATTATCTTATCTTCTCAGTGGTGCCTCCTCTAAGCATCCTGTTGAAACAGCAAGCCCCATTGCCAAGAGTTGCCCTGCTTTATTTTTCTCCTGAGAATGCACCACTTTCTGACTTTCATTTATTTCTAGTCTTCCTCAACTAGAATATAATTCCCATGAAGGTGGGGTTCTTATGTGTTTTATTCAGTGCTGTATCTCAGTGCCTGACACTTATTGGTACTTAAACAGTCCTTTGAATAAACAAAATAATTCCACATAGTGCCAAAAGCTCTGAAGAAAATTTTAAAAAGGTATATGCTAGAGATCCATAGGGCAGCAGTGCCGAGGTGCTGAACTATCTCTTGGGCCTCAGGATGGTAGTGACTTGTGAGCTGACACATGGATGGCAAGAAGGGGCCAGCCATGATGACTTACACCCCAGGCAGAAGGCACCAGTACAGTACAAAGGCCCAGGCTGGAACCCAAGCAGAAAACAGGGTGCCTGGAGGGGACGGAAGGAGGCCACACAGGAGAGAGTCAGGGGGATGGGCAGCGGCCAGGTCCTGGAGGCTGGGTTGTGCTGATTCTGGGTTTGTTCGTTCTCAGATCTGGTCCTCGCCTCTCAGCTCTGGGTTGCAGGGACTGGCCCTGTGGGCTGGGTTTCCACAAGCTGGCCTTGGGTTTGGTCGCGGGGAAGCACTGCTGAGAGGCTGAGGGGGTCAGGGCCAGGGAGCAGCAAGGGTTCTCTTTCCCTTGCTGTCTGCCCTCGCAGCTTCCCTCCATGGCCCCAGCCGCTGCTACAAGGCTTTTTGTGGTTCTAGCTTCAGCCAGATGACCCAGGCCCCCAGACTCTAATATCACCACCTCTTCCCTTGACTGTCAGGATGTTGCTAAACTTCCCACAGCTGCTAATCTCAAGGTTGCTTCTCATCCTCTCTGTCACCTATGTAACCAACTCCCTGCCTTACATACACTCTGTTGCACTCAGAACAGTTTCTATGTTCCTTGCAGGGGACTGACTGAATTGTTTGGAAAAACAAACCTGAGTTCAAGTAGACAGGGGGCTGCCTGGAGGACTCCCAGGGCGGCATACGAGCAGGCTATGAAGTTATAGACTTGTACGCAGCATCTTGAGGAAGAGGAAACTATATCTGACCAGTAGGAACTACAGGGAGTATCTTGGGACTCAAAAGGGTTCCTACCAGGTAGGACTGTAGAGAGAGAAAGGGTTTGAGCAGAGAAGTAGCACAGCGTGTGCCAGGGATGTTATCAGGGCACGG